CATCTCTCCCTCTTTTTGGAATTTGGGGCATCCACATACATGCACCTACCATGCTTCTTTCTTTTTAGAAATCCTTTACTGAAGCGGCAGTTTAATAACTCTCATTGTGTTGCAGGCTGGCTTCAGTGATGTCCAGGTTCTTGGCGTTTGGGACTAAGCGTTGAAAGAAACATGTCAATAGCTGAAGCCAAGGGTAGTGTATTAAGTAAAAGTGAAAGGACACCTCTGAGAGGTAGGAACAGTCCTAACAGGAGAAAGAATAAGTGGCTCATGGGCCACACCTGGCAGGTTTCTTAAGCCATTGAGTCCACAACACAAACTGTGCCATCAGGCATGTTTACCAGCAGGCCACACAGCCTGCCCAAAGCTTGTTGTTTTAATCTTCGAATATCTACAGATGCCTCCATGAAAACAGACAGTACAGGAAGTATATCACACCAAGAACATGTAGACAATACCTAACACAATACTATCTAGTATCAGTGGACAGGGACAAATTACCAGCACTTGCAGACCCAGAGTTTCCTGAAAAACACTCAAATCTAATAAATGGAGGCACCGTTCAAAGTCAAAGCCCCAATCTGAGAAGACACCAAATTGACAAAGACAGGCATGCTAAGAATAACAGAAAGAGAAATTTCAGGTAAAAGAGGAAGGCAACAGAGATGGAAGGACTTAGGAACCACATGCACATATATTTTTTCCTGCAAAAAAAAATAAATAAATAAAGAGCAATCAGTATGCCATTATGCTAGAAAAATTATTCTAACCCCTTCCCCCCAAAAAAAAGATGCAACTCTTTTCCTTAAAAAGAAGCAACAGAAGGAAAATCTAATGGGAGAAGGGGCAGTATTTAAAAAATTTCATGGAAAATAGAATTAAAGTACAAGTTTATTTTGGTATTTTTTTTTAATTCATGATAGTTTTGAGGATCCCTTGTATGAGTTGAAAGAATGAAGACTGAAATAATGTCCTGAAAGGCAACATTGCATATCAGGAAGATCTATTCACAAAAACAGATAAAAACTGCAATCCAAAATTCAATAAACAAAAAGAAATGGAAATTAGTTAAAAATAAGTTTATTAAAGCAGAAAATTAGAATCAAGTCATTTAACAAATGAAGGCTAAATTAGAAAAAATACGAAAGTGTACAAAGATATAATAAAGAGAAATATAAGATGAAAAGTAAGAAAATTTCAAAATAAAACATTGAGATTTAAAAAAGCCAGGAAAAAGAAAAAGCTATAGAAGATGGACAAACAATATATAATCTTTATCCAACAGGACACTATGAAGAGAACTAAATAGAATGGAACATGTTCTGTCATAAAAAAATAAAGAGATTTGAAATGACACAGCTAGAGAACACATTATATATTTAGAAATAGCAACGAAAAATGGTCATCTTTGAGAAAAATTCTAGTAAAACAATCAGAATTTAAAGTACAAATGCTGCCTCTCTATCAGTCTGGCTGGAGAGGCACTATATATCCCCACTCAGCATATGCTGATTACCTACACTCTGTGGGAAACAAAAGCAAGGAGAACAATTACAGATACAATCCTAGAGACAGTGTGGGAGGAGGGTGTGAAGTGGGGGAGGGCTAGAAGGAGGGTATCAAGGGGAAAAAGAAAGAAGCAAAACATTCAAGGGACACTACAATGGAAAATTATTTTTTGATGACAACGTGTATGATACTATATTTAAAAGGATGAATATGCTGTATATTCATGCAGGGAAATTTCATTTTGCTTGCTGTAATAATATATAGTGATTGAATGTATGAAAAAACATAAAAGAGAAAGTATACAACAAATAAACGAGAAACACTAATTTGGACATGCAAGTAGAGAAACTAAGATAAAAATCAGAATTTGATCACAGTTGATCAAAATACTTTCTAACAGAAGAAAATGGAATGACATAGTCAAGATGCTCCATTAAAAAATCTTCATGCCAAAAATTTAATCTAGTCAAAACCACCTTGAAGATTTTAGGCTACAGAACAATTATACTCACATGGAAGAACTCGGGAATACTGTATTCTTGAAATTTCCTTAGAGAATCCATTGGGGCCTTAGTTTCAGGGAACCCGAATGATTTGTGAGATATAAACAAAAGGATTGATGGTGACCAGGCTGATATGGGCCCATGATCCAGAGCTGGCTGACACTTGGGGTGGATTGTGATGTGACAGCTCTGTTGGGGGTTTCTAACTCTTGGTTTCTTGCTCATGAAAAAAGTAAAAACTGGCGGGACCAGCAGTTAGCATAATGGCAATGTCGCTAGACTGCCATGTAGTCAACCACAGTTCGAGTCCTGGACCCAGTGGCTTAAACTCACACCAGGCGTGTATGCATGCGGGCCCAAGATCCGGAGAGGAGAAGGGAGGAGAAGGGATTGCAGCGTGGCCATCCCCCCTGGAGGGGGGGGGTGATTTCTCGCTTCCTGTCTCTCTGTCTCTGTCTGGTGAGCACACATGCCCTATAGCAAAAATCTCTTCAAAAAAAGTAAAAACTAGGGGGAAAAAAATCCTACAGAACCTATTAAAAACTTAGAACTTGTCCCATGGATTATCGTATTCACTAAATTTGTATGCATTCCAGGAATCTGATTTTACTAACTCATTATCCAATACAGCATTGAAGTTTGGGAACTACTAACTAGTCTCTACTAAGAGACTAAGCAACACATAAGCAACACTGTCTCAACAGTGTTAATACACTGTTTCTTATTGAAAGCCTAACTGCTACAGTTTGCATTCCTTGAAAACTTACTGTGTGACAGATGCTTTTCTAATCTCTTTAACTATGTTTATTTCATTCAATCCTTCTAAAACTCTACAATATAGATGTTATTGACATTTTCAATTTACAGATAAGAAAATCAGGCAACAAAGCTAACATGTAAGTGCAGGCAGTCTGCTTTCAGAGCACGTGGTCTTTCCACCTGTGCTATCAAGATAAAATTGCACTATCAACTAAAATAGAACTTTCTCCTCTTGATTTTGATTAGAATTATACTGTCTACATTATTAAAAAATCATGACCTTGATCATAAATTTTGATTAGAAGTTGCACATTTTAAGAAAACTCATTTTGGCAAACAAAATATTTTGGTACACAAAGTTGTCATTAAAATAATTACTGGAAATTCTAAATGGTAAGAGTTTTTCTTATAGACACCTTCACAATTGCTTCTTCCATATTCCTGGCCCCAATAAATATACGTTTAACTAGTAAGTTGATCAGTTTATAAATAAGAGACATATATTTAATTTTTCTTTCTTTTTTATTTTAGGTTTTTCTTATAGGGTGCACATACTTTGACAGAGAGAGACAGAGAGGGAAAATGAAAAATCAACACTCCCCACCCCCCCACGCACCCAGGGGAGATGACCATGCCACAGTCCCTTCTTCTCCATTCCATTCTCCTCTTGGGATTTTGGGCAAACACACACATGTGCCTGGTGTGATGCTGAAGCTGCTGATTCGGGACTCAAATCATGGTCAGTCAACTGTTAGCCAGTGACTTCACCACACAACCTCCTGGCCCCATTTATTTTCTCAATATCATAATTATCATGCTTTGTCACCCTCTCTCTCCTGTTTTTCCCTTCCCTTTTCATCTCTTTTGTCTTTATATACTCAACAAACTTCAGGAAGCATCTTGTATATGGTTCTCAAGTCAAGCTTTGTCCTTAGGGTTGGGAAATGTACACATTAAGCAGTACTTTCTAAAACGTAATCACATCTAGAGATGGAAGAAAAAATCTATAACAGGAGTGACAAAGAGAATGGAGTATACAGTATTAAGAGTTGACAGGGAGCCAGCAGTTAGCGTAATGGTTATGTCGCTGGACTCCCACGTAGGCGACCACGGTTCATGTCCCGGACCCGGTGGCTTAAAACTTACGCCAGGTGTGTGTGCGTGCGTGCCCAAGATCCTGAGAGGAGAAGGGATTGCGGCAAGACCATCCCCCCTGGGGGGGTGATTTCTCGCTTTCTTTCTCTATGTCTCTCTCTATCTGGCGAGTGCACGCACCCTATAGCAAAAACCTCTCCAAAAAAAAAAAAGAAAAGTTGAAAAGTTGACAGACCACAGAATCTCGTCACAGCAAAATAATAACATTAGGATTGAAGGCGGTCAGCAGGTGGTATGATGGTTAAAGGCACTAGACTCCCACATGGTCAACCATAGTTTGAGCACCTAACCTGGTAGCTTGCTTCGTACATTTTCTCTCTCTCTCTCTCTGTCTTTCTCTGATCAAACTGAATAACAATAATGATGATAAAGTTAAATAAAATAATTCTTTTTAAAAAATATAGGGCCTTTTGGCCAGAACTGCCATTTTCCAGTAATTCACCAAAATAAAAAACACAAAGGGAATGAGGAGAAGCACCCAATATATGTTCTCTAGGCCTTTTAGAAAACATGGAGTGTTTCCTTTGTCAACTTGCATGTGAATCTATAAGGAAGGTGATATTGTGGACATTCAAAGGAATAGGTACTATTTAAAAAGGAATGCCCCACAAGTGTTACCATGGTAAAGCTGGAAGAGTCTACAATGTTACTCAGCGTGCTGTTGGCATTGTTGTAAACCAATAGGATAAGGGCCAGATTCTTGCCAAGAGAATCAATGTGCATATTGAGCATATTAAGCATTCTAAGAGTAGCGATAGCTTCCTAAAACATGGGAAGGAAAATGACCAGAAAAGGAAAGAAACCAAAGAGAAAGGTACCTGGGTTCAACTAAAGCGCCAGCCTGCTCCACCCAGAGAAACACACTTGGTGAGAACCAATGGAAAGGAGCCTGAGTTCTGGAACCTATTCCCTATGAATTCATGGCATGATGGGTGTTAAAAGTAAACTAACATGGTCCACTTAAAAAAAGAATTAGGATTGAAGAATTGTTATACCTTTTCAAGAAAGATACTTCACACTACAGATATTTTCTGGCAATCAAAATGTATCAAAACTCAGTCTTGGCATACTTACATTTAATTCGATCTTTAGCATTTCTTCAAGAAGATGCCCTACATGATCTGTATCTTCTTTTTTGTTCATAACCACACAAATCTCTCGTGAAATTCTCTCTGAGATAAAAAAGAAATTAAAATTTTAAGTTTCAAACAAACATGGCTCTAACCCTACTGCACTGAAACCTGTGGTTATTTGTTATCTACAGTGTTGACCCAGAATAGGGAGATTTGGGCTTTAGGACAAGGGAAGTGACCTATACTATACACACTGAGATATTTTTGACTCTGTTTACCACCCAATAAATCTATGCATTAAATACTTTTTGGGTTGAAAACCAGCCATTGTACAAGAAATAAGATCTTATTGGGTTGTTGGGAATGTCATAACACATTTTTGCATAGAAAACAGAAAAATATATCATAACTTTCCCAATGACCTAATAGAATATATATATATAAAAGGAAGTTAGCAAAGATACAACTACTTAGCTCACTGATTCAACTCTTCTGCATTTAAAAGGAGTCTCCGGAATCTCCAATTCTCACTTCTCAGGCAGACACTCACTTTGGGTTGTAAGTTATCTCCTGTTTACAGACTCACTGTGCCACCTGGTGCCGTGGGTACGTACAAAATTTTCCTGAGCATTCTTACATTGTCAACTAGAGAGTTAAATTCCTACTTTAGCTATCACCATAAAGGGTAAAAATGCTAAAAGTTAAATATTCAATTTCTTCAAATTAAAGCTTATTTGAGATGATCTGATTTAAAAATATAAACTGTGTGACAGTGATATTCACGTCTAAATGGATGCATTCTCCCCAAAAACAGGAACTCGTCCTCTAACGCAGGCAAATATGAGGTATTAAGAAATGCTTATGGGACCAGCAGTTAGAGTAAAGGCTATGTCGCTGGACTCCTATGTAGTCAACCATGGTTCAAGTCCCAGAACTGGTGGCTTAAATTCACACCAGGCACGTGTGCATGAGTGCCCAAGATCCCAAGAGGAGAATAAATGAGAAGGGATTGTGGCGTGGCTATCCCTTCTGGGGAGTGATTTTTCACTCTCTGTCTCTCTGTCTCTCTCTGTCTTTCTGGTGTGTGCACACACCCTATAGCAAAAACATCTCAAAAAACAAAAATAAAGAAAGAAAGAAAAAGAAAAGAAAAGAAATGCTTATGTAGCTAGAAGTTAAGCAGTTACTCCACAGTATTAGCTTATGTATACAGAGAACAGAGCTTAATTTTGTATATGAGTCCCAAGTCAAAAGCCTAATGTTTGACTCAACTGCTTCCTATATAGGCAACTCTATATACCATGCTCTCTACTGCTATCATCTAGCAGTAGTTAATGATTCTCCTGGGTAACGCTGGAGGGCACAGATCATTTAAAATATCACCAAGTAATAGTACTCATATTTCTATCTCCTATTAATGCAGATCACTGTGTGTTTCAGGAGCTATACAGTAACCCTCATGATGACACTGCAACAGAACTATTCTGAATCTACATAAGAGATTCGAGAACCTTGTTTTCAGAGAAATTAAATAATCTGCCCAGCAACACAGGATTACAGGAGCAGAAAAAATTATTCAAAACCCAAAGAAATTGGGTTTCTAAACATACAGCTATTGTACAGCATTAAAAAGCAAAAATGAGAAAAGACATCTAACATTCATTGAACACTGGCATTTTCATATGCCATAGTGTTTTCAGCCATTTTTTTTTGGGGGGGGAGAGGTTTGAGTGATAGGGAACGTGCGCTAGCCAGACAGACAGAGAGAGACAGAGAGACAGAAAGCGAGAAGTCACCCCCCAGGCGGGATGGTCACGCCGCAATCCCTTCTCCTCCATTCTCCTCTCGGGATCTTGGGCACGCATGCACACGTGCCCGGCTTGAGTCTTAAGCCACCAGGTCCAGGACACGAACCGCGGTTGACTACGTGGGAGTCCAGCGACATAGCCATTACGCTAACTGCTGATTCCCCAGCCATTATTCATGTAAAACTCAATAAATGTAATAAATAAGTACTATTAATGATGAGTTATATAATCCCAGTTTTCACTTAGAAGGGTATTTAAGTATATGTCTTCCCAAAGTTCAAGCCTTTTTTATCATATTGTCTATAACCTTATAATAATTTTATAACATAACATTCCTCAGTCTCATATACTCTATAAATGAAATATAAATAATTAAAGTAAATCAAATAGATTAGGATGATTCCTCTATCCCAGATAGATCTGTTACTCCTACCTGTACTATCTTAAAATCATTTCATGGGACCCAAAGATGGCATAGTGGTTATATTACTGAACTCTCACAAGGGTGACTGCAGTTCGAGTTTCAGACTCGATGACTTGAAAATCCATGTGTGTGTGTGTGTGCCTAAGATCCTGGGAGGAGAATGGAGGAAAAGGGACTGCAGCATAGCCATCCCCACAAGAGGGGTGATTTCTAACTTTCCCTCTCACTGTCTCTGTCTCTCACTACAGCAAGTGCACATGCCCTAAGGCAAAACACTCTAAAAAAAAAAAGGCATTTCATCTCTGTGACTCTTCGCTAATCTTTAAGAGTCTTATCAACTCTAAAAAGTCTGTAATTCTTATTATATAATCCCAATGAAACTAAATATAATTAAGAACTTTAAAAAATGTTCCCAGATAGTACATGCTATGGTACATTATTCCAGAGAGAAATATAAACTGGTTACAAGATAACAAAAAGAACTAGGAGCTCCCTCTTCTGAGATAAGTAGGTTTTGCTTAGGAACGAGTGCAAGGAGCTTTAAAATAAGACTAACATTTAAAAATATATTGATAAAGCAAAAGTATGCACATAAGTGTAGTATAACTAACAACCATATAAATGACTTGAAAGCCCAGGGGGTGATTTAGTAGTGAAAGGCCA